AAATAAAAAATTAATATTTTTATTTACATATTTTTTCAAATCTTTTCCATTGAAAAATGAATATAGTTAAAGTAGGTAATTTGGTAACTTTAATATCTTTTCCACTGATGCAAAAAGAGACTATTGCAGATGCTTTGGTGGGGATTATACAGATCAAGTTTTTTTTATGGTTAAAGGATTTAATTAATGATTGTGAATTCTCTTTATATGATTAAATTTGTAATTTTAAATTATGTATTAAATCAATAGTTATATAATTATATCATTTTTTTTTTTGTGGAGGGGTGCTAGGGACACTCTCCTTCTGCACTCTCCGGCCAACACTTTCACTTTTATTGAGCCACATTATTCTAGTCGGTAAGAAGTTGCACTTCAAAGCTGAAAACAAGCTTACCTGGCCCAATGAAAGGGGAAGTGTTGGCCGGAGAGTGCAAGAGGCGAGTGCCCCTAGCACTGCTCTTTTTGTATAAGTAAGACTTGCCCCTGGCACTGCTCTCTTTTGGATTAGTAAAACTTGATATGAATGGATAGAAATATCTTTTATACTTTAAATTAATAAAATTTATTTAACTGGTAAAAGAAATATCTTTTCCACTGCTTTTCCCTTTTTTTTTTTTTATAAGAATCTAACGAATTTTCAGCGATGAAAAATTAGTAACGCACCTGATCGTAAAATTTGAAATTTCATATTATCATAACAGGTAACACCTTGTCACTTTCTATATATAAAAAAAAAGGTACGACGATTATGGCGTTAGTGCTGTGCCCTCCCTGCTATTATTAACTTGTCCACTGAAAAATTGAATAAGAAGTTAAAGTAGCTTTTTTATTTTTGGTTGATAAGTTTAAAGCAGCTTATTTTGGCAGCATTAATATTTTTTTCAGTGCAAAATTGAATAAAGTTGGTATTAATGATTTTATCAGCCAATGTTTCACACCTGGAAAAGAAAGAACATTATTTTATCTATTATTAATTAATACTTCTTATTAAATTTTATTATCATTAAAGTTTAAAAATTAAAAAAATTAAAATTTTAATAGTGTTTTTTTTTTTAACAAATTCGCAAGGGGTCGGATTCGAACCGTTGCCCGAGAGTAGGAGAATGCACTTATACGTGACCTGACGCCATTGGACCCGAAAGCCCAAGTGCATAAATTTTAATAGTGTTTAATAATTATTTTGTTTATCAATTTTAATCTTTTCTTTTTTAAATTTAATTTTAAATTGTGATTTTATTTAGAAGTTTTAATATTTAAAAAAAAATTAAAATAATGATTATTTATTTACCTTTTATTATTAGCTAAAAATTGAAAACTAAATGAATTCAAAATAAAATTATCACTTAATTAATAAGATAAACAAAATTAAAAAATCTTATTTAAATTTAATGTGAATCTTATAAAGTTAAAAAAACTTTTAGATTAAGTCATTTATTTAAATTTTAAAATAAGAAGTAAAAAAATCAAAAAATAAATTAAAAAATGACATCCACCATGCGTCAATATTACCGTCTATATTCATTTATTTTTATTTTGATGGAATATATTCAAATTATCAGCATCCCTCAATTTTAAATACTCTATATATACTCTTCTTGAGTACTCTATTGCGCCAAACAAAGATATGAGGATCTTCACAAAGCTCTCTGCACCACTCTGCTTCCTTTTTGTCTTCCTCTGTCTTAAAACTGCCTTCTCATCCTCTATACATGCTTCTTCCTTCTCAACAATGCATCTCTGCTCTCATGAGGAGGCTCTTGCTTTGCTGCAATTCAAGACATCCTTCTCCATCGATTACACTGTTCCGTATCCAGGTTATTGTGGGGAAAATTATTCTAAGATTGAGTCATGGAAGGAAGGTATAGACTGTTGTTCCTGGGATGGGGTTAGCTGTGATAATGTCACAGGCCATGTAATTGCCCTTAATCTCAGCTGCAGTTTCCTTTGTGGCACCTTTCCTTCCAACAGCACTCTTTTCTTCCTCAGAAACCTGCAGAGCCTCAATCTTGCCTTGAATGATTTTAGGCTTTCCAAGATTCCACCAGAAATCAGTCAGTTTACTAGACTAAAGCATCTTGATGTCTCTTCTTCTCAATTTTCGGGCCAAGTTCCGAGAGAAATTGCTCACCTCCCCAAGTTAGTTTCTCTCAATCTCTCCAATTTTGACTTGATCCTTGAAACAACTACCTTCAAAAATCTTGTTCATAACTTGAGTGAGGTGAGAGAACTTGTGCTTAGTGGAGTGAACATGACATCTGTTAATCCTCGTTTCTTCATGAATCTTTCTTCTTCATTGACTACTCTTGATCTTTGGGAGAGTGCATTAAGAGGAAACTTTCCAAACACTATTTTCCACTTTCCAAATCTCAAGATTTTTTATTTAAGTGGATCTTTTGGAGGGCGAAACCTCACTATTGATCTTCCAAGTTCCAATTGGAGCAGTCCTCTCCAACAGTTGCGTTTATATGATATGGATTGCGGAAGGCGATTGCCAGAGTCTATAAGAGATCTAAAGTCATTACAGTTTCTGAGTCTTCTTCGCTGCTACTTAGAAGGTTCCATTCCAACTTCCATAGGGAACTTATCTGAACTTGCCTTTCTTGACCTTTCCAGTAATCAGTTTTTTGGTCCCATTCCAGCTTCCATAGGTAACTTAAGGCAACTTACTTTCCTAGCCCTCGATTCTAACAATCTTAGCGGACAGATCCCATCATCACTTGCAAACCTCACCCAACTTACCTTACTTGACCTTTGCGGTAATCAGTTTTCTGGTCCCATTCCAGCTTCCATAGGTAACTTAAGGCAACTTGCTATCCTAGCCCTCTATTCTAACAATCTTAGTGGACAAATCCAACCATCACTTGCAAACCTGACCCAACTTACCGTGCTTTACCTTTTCAATAATCAGTTTTCTGGTCCCATTCCTTTTCATGCTATTAGGTTTTCCAAACTAAGCCTTCTAGACTTATCTTATAACTTACTTAATGGCACGTTGCCACCTTGGATTTTCACCGTACCTTTGGTAGAGTTGTATCTCAATCATAACCAATTTCAAGGTCAAATAAATCAATTCCAGCAAAACTCACTCACACACCTAGATTTGTCAAACAATAAACTCCAGGGCTCAATTCCTAACTCAATTGCTAATTTAGTAAATCTTAGTTATCTTGATTTATCATCAAATCATTTTAGTGATTTAGTAGAACCTGACATGTTCTCGGCGCTTCAAAATCTGGAAACCATCTTTCTTTCAGACAATAATCTGTTCTTGAGAATGAATGTCAATACCAACTTCACATTACCCAAACTAACTCGTGTTTCCTTTTCTTCTTGTAACTTGAGTGAATTCCCCAATTTCATAAGACATTCAAATGGTCTGCAAAGCCTAGTGCTATCCAAAAATAGCATTTGTGGAAATATTCCCGAATGGATAAGTGAAAAGGATGATCTCGAAATTCTTGACCTTTCTCATAACAATTTAATCGGGAAGATTCCAAATTGTCTTCCTAAGCTTCTCTCAGTGTTGAATTTGCAGGCCAATTACTTTGATGGAAATATTCCCAAATGGATATGTGAAAAGGACCATCTCGCAATTCTTGACCTTTCTCATAACAATTTAATCGGGAAGATTCCAAATTGTCTTCCTAAGTTTCTCTCAGTGTTGAATTTGCAGGCCAATTACTTTGATGGAAATATACCATTTGGGTTTCCAGAGGTCTGTGTATTACAAAATCTCAACTTACATGGGAATCAAATGGACGGGCTATTACCAAGGTCTTTGGTGAATTGTAGCATGTTAGAGGTTCTAGACATTGGCAACAACAGCATAGAGGATACATTTCCTCATTGGTTGGAATCTCTACCAGACCTTCAAGTGCTTGTCTTAAGGTCCAACAAGTTCCATGGTTTTGTGCAGAGCACCAAAGAAAGCCCATCTTTTCCCAAGTTACGAGTTCTGGACCTCTCCAGCAATGATTTTCTTGGTCCTTTGCCTCTTCGGTACATGAAAAATTTTAAAGCGATGATGGACCCTCATAAAGATGGTGGTTCCCCTAAATACATGAAGATGTCGACGGGAGCCAATTCTTATCAATATTCACTGGTTGTGACATGGAAGGGATTCGACTATGAGCTGCAGGGAATCTTGACCGTATTCAGTAGTATTCATCTCTCAAATAACATGTTTGAGGGGGAAATTCCAGATGTTATGGGAAAGCTTAGTTCTCTCAAAGGGCTTAATCTTTCTCATAACAAGCTTACTGGTTATATCCCACCGTTACTAGGGAATTTGACAAATCTGGAATGGTTGGATCTCTCTTCCAACGAGCTGGCGGGGAAAATTCCCGATGAATTGGTATCTTTGACACAACTCTCTGTATTGAATCTTTCAAACAATCATCTCGTCGGGCGCATACCACAGGGCAGTCAGTTCAACACTTTTGGAAATGGTTCTTATGAAGGAAACCTTGGACTGTGTGGATTCCCATTGTCAAAATCTTGTGATGGAATTGGGACACCGCCGAGCTCCTTCCAAGAAAAAGATGAGTTGTGGAGATTTGACTGGAGAGTTGTGGTGTTAGGCTATGGATGTGGAGTTGTTTTTGGACTGCTGATGGGATATCTTGTCTTCCGAACAGGAAAACCAAAATGGTTTGTGTCT